GAGACTAATGCAGGGTGATTCTTATACCTCGTGCTTGAGTACACTTTAGAAGATTGTACTCAAGGAATCAGATATACTATTAAGTATTATAACTCATTAAAAAATTAATTTTATTTTGTGAAAATAACGTCAATATCTAATGCATATAGATTTATTTGTACACTTCAATTTTATTTCAAATATACAATACACGTTACAATATAATATACAATGTACATTTCTCGGATATGTATGAACATTTCCTGTGGCACTTAAAGGGTTAATGTACAAAATAATAAATTGATCGAAAAAAGAAATTAAAACAGCAATTCATATAAAGAACATTAATATATTTATTAATTAATATTTAATAATATAATTTAAATAATATATTTAAGACAAAAGAAATAAAAGTAGAAAATAAAAAAATGTGTACATGAAATGACTATGAAATTAAATTAAGGCTGCATCACTGGTATTACACTACCAGACACGTGTAATATCCAGATAGCAATGCCAGAGGAACATAGAAAATACTTGGATGTAGGAAATTAGATTGCTAGGGTGAACGAGGAAGGTGATTAGCACGCACATAACAGTCTCCATAACAGGAGTCATACCAGTAAAATTACAAGAAAGCCTCGAGCTACTGAAGCTAAATAAGAGTATGCACCTGGGAGGGCAAGAAGCTGCCATCTCGAACGAGTTTTCGAATTTAGAGACAAGTCAAAAATAAGCAGCATCGAGTATTTAGAATTTGACATGCTCAAAGCGAAGAACCTTCTTTCCCTGTCGATCTGTTCGATGCAAAGGCGCGAAAATATGGTGCGTGAAATTGTCGATACTCGTTCGAATTCGTCGCAGCCTAGAGTGATTCGAAAACAACGTGAACGGCGAATATAGAGTCAGCAGTTTGGTGATCGATAGAAGCCAGGTCGATGCATTTTGAGTTTCCATAAACGCCCGAGGCGGTTTCGATTTTACGAGTATCCGTAAGAAAAATAGACTATTGTTTCGTCGACGCGCGATTTGTGAAAATTTGTATTTCTCGATATGTGCGTGAACGTGAAATAGTTTCGGGAACGATATTGCGTTATCTATCTCAGTGCTTGTCAAACTTCTTTCTATATCATTTTATTTATGCTAACATTTAAAACTTTTGAAGTTAGACACAATTGTTCGAATCGTAGTAACTGAAAATATTCGGAACGAATATGAAACAATGTAGAGATGCTCCAAAAATTATTATTTTATCCAGATGCTCGCAATTCAGTATGCGGGAAAGAAGTTGGCAAAACAGTAAGACAAAAGTATGGTTTATGTTACGGCGAAAGGAAGCGTGCCCTGGGTCGGTCATAAACCGGAAAAAATGTGAAAAACACAACTTATTGTTCAGTGTGTCCCTTGAAATTCCCAGCTCGTGTTGCGGATTATTATACAGGCTCACGTAAAGCGGTTTCAGTCATGAGTTATTCCGAATTTAGAAAATCTAGACGATTAGTTTCATGTTTTAGTACCTCTGGTATTATTCATCCAACAATTTCGAATATTTTTATTTCCCATATCGCGTGCATCCGTTCTCCTTTCCAAGAATTCTGGTTTTGCAGAATCTAGCATATTATTTTCGAACCCCAACGAGATCTTTTCCGCTTCGATAAAACCCGTCACGCCACCCTGTCATCATGCAACGCGCTCGTTGAGCTTCTTTCAGAACTAATTTACGTGACTTCATTCTGCGGGTCCCTTGGTACATTCCATTCGAACCTTTAAATTCCAGTAATCTACGAACCCCGTATTCAAAACACAATCTCCCGTTCGAGAAGAAATAGAACATATTGTAGTATCGCGGCCCCGAATACCCAAAAATAAAGCGTCAAACACGAACGCGAATCGAAGGGTGCGGGAATGATGTGTAGGAAAAGCAGTCGACTGTGGATCCAAGGATCGTGGGTTTGAATCTCCGTGCCTTATTTTTCGTAGAAACATCTACAATACACAGGGTGTCTCGTAACTGATGGTACAAGCCAGTAGGGGATGATTCTACATGAAAAACCGAACCGAAAACGTAGAATAAAATTTTTTCACATGACACTTTATTTTCAAAAGAAAATAAGTTTGAAAATTTGTGTACTTGATTTAGTTTCAACATAATGATATCTCTTTCATCGATTTTATTTTTTTCTTATGCTTATTGAGCCGGACCGAAATAGTTTAGTTTCCGAAATACTGTGCACAACAACACATTAGAAAACGTTCGATGCAATTTAATAAGAAGAGCACAGTTATGCTTGCAACAACGTGTATATCATTTCCAACAGTTCATAAATTAAACGAATTCTGGAAATCTGTTCATCGATCCATTGACAACGTTTACGAACTAGAATGGAGGTGATTTACAATGAAATCCGCTGAACTAAAGCTGGTCCAAGTGCACGCGTACATGACAAATTTTCAAACATATTTTTTTTGTCTACATTTTCGATACAATTTTTCACGTAGAATCACCCCCTACTCGCTTGTACCACCAGTTACGGAACAGCCTGTATAATTCCATTAAAGCGTAATTAATGACAGAAAAATATACTCCACAAGATGCTCCATCTTCTTCAGAGTCTACCCTGGAATTTTCTCTCATAATCAACGATCGTTGAAGAATGTCTCGCTAATTGGGACATCTACCTCATACCCGAAACGCTCCAAAGCAATTCGGCGCGAGCAAAGGTCATGAAACCGGCGCGTTCCACGAGTCAGCTCCGTCGATGAAAAATTAACATGAGCCCCGAGCGGGGAGGAGAAGCAAATCGGTTTGGGTTCGCGTTCCTCGTGACTGGACACTTCTGCCAGGGGTATCCTGTGAGCTGACCGCGAAGACGATATTGAAATTATGCGCGCAATGCCTGGGGCGGCACCGCACAAAAGGCGCCGGACTCCTCGGGCATAAATCGCCAGGTCAAAATTCCTGAGGGCAGCAGCCGTTCGGCGATACACGCCTCGGAGTCCTGGAAACGCGCGGACTCAGGCGGATCGCCGCTTTCACGAGCTCGCGAGGAGCGAGAGGAAGCGAGACGGAGCGAGGATGCGAGGAATCGCGAACGAGAAGGTCAGCCGAATCAAGATTACAAATTTATGGGGGAGCCTCTTAACGCGGCTTGCCCCTCGTTCCTTCGCCTCTGCTTGAATCGGTAATGGTCGAACGCTGACGTTGCGCCGTTACCATTCGGCGAAAACAGCTGCCGAAGATCCCGATCGACATCTGCCAGGCGCTTTTCTGGATAGAACAATAAACGCCCTCGGGTCGCGATTCTTTTATCTCTCGGCTGACCTAATGGCAGAGAAAATTGACGCCCTTGAGCGGTGAATGGCACCGTTTCGCGAGTGTTGCGGGCGTATTGCACCTATGGCCGACACCTATTGTGTATCGATGGAATGATGGATGTGTGACGGTAATTTTGTTAAACGTTGTTCCACTGAAAGTCTGTTTTAAGACCGTTGCCATCCGCGTTTGCTAACAGATGGCTCAGCGTTTGGTCTCGTGATCGCGTGCTTTGTAGACTGTGTCCGAGTTAACACTAAACCTACTCATTTGTCACTATTTCTACTGTGATGGAACAAATGACATCTTTTCATTGCAATGTAAATCTATTTTATGTGGAATTAAATTGAATAATGCATGAAACAATGACTACAGTAGAACCTCCATACTGTACAAACTGTAATAAAAAAATCACAGTAAAACACATACTAGAAGAATATCCAATGTATAATATTATAAGAGAAATACTATACAATTATTGTTAGATTCAAGAATTAGTTATTCTAACCATAAGTTATTCCGTATTTATTTTAATTATGACTCAGATAAGTATATAAATGTTGAGCATGTAACTCATAGTGGTCGCTAATGGCGTACAAGCTGATGCGATGATAAATAAATAAAAAAGAAAATTGTATATAATTCATATATTGTATATGAGAACTGTATACAAAAGTTTGAAAACGGTAATCCGATCAGTCGTGGTAGCTTTAGTTTTAATACTGTGTACCTACGAATGACTAGTTGCATCGCTCGTAAGTTATATTACCCGCGCCTATAAAAAGTATAAACAAGCCCAAGTACCGTTAGTGTAATATCTTGTAATCCGTCTATCGATCACAATTTCAGGAAGCGACGCGTTACTCCGTAACGATAAAAATCTCTTAAATCATTGCTACACGTGAGAACTAATGGACGACCAGCGGTTCCAGCGTAATGGCACCGTGTCGTCGTACCTGGTACATATTGCGTCGGCCCGAGAAACGTCTATTTTTCAGCGAAAACGTGCGCACGTGTTCCTCCTCGTTTCTATTTGTTGGCAGTTGACTGGAATCCAAAACTGGTACCAATTAAAACAGTTCTCCGCGTCACGCGAAGTTTCACTGTCACGGTGGCAGCGAAACGATGCCCGCGCGCGTCCAGGTTCCCTCTATTTACATAGCGCTCGCAATACCGGGAATATTTCGAGGTATCTCTCGCGTCGAGCGATAATCCGTGAACAATTACACCCGTTAACGTTCGCGGTCCGTGGACTCGATAAGTCCTGGAGCAAATGCACTCGATGTAAAGTGAAATAAGACCGGTGATTTTGATAGGCTATCTCGCCGCGTGGTGATTTATGAACACACCTTTGCTCCGCGATTAAAATTTATTACCGTCCCACGAAAATATAAGATTGTTTCACCGGAGCGCCACGGCGCGCATTTCTTCGCGATCCTCGGAGTTAGTAACGTGTAGTAGTTGTTTATTTGTTAAGTAAACTATAAAATATTTTCACCAATAATATCACGAAATACGTCTGCTTTTACCATTATCTTTCATTCGCACTCGGAAACAGTCACACAACATCCATAAATTCACGATGCTACTCGTAAAAAGGATGTTACACAAAATTCGTAACTGCATCTGTCTACGTTTTGATAGAAAGTACACGTTTTCTTTTATTAACAGAAAATTTACAACTTACTTTTGGAGTCAACAAGGAAATTTGATAAATGTTGGTATCGCGTGTGTGGAATTAAAATTTATCATTTACATTTATAAATCATTTGGCTTCCATCTCTTTAGTCTTCTCGTCTTTGGTGCTTGGTTTAGCATCTTAGCTAATTCGTTGGGATAATTTGTTATTTTATTTTAATATGTAGTTGGAAATTTGTTGCCGTGCTCGTTCACATACTGTATTCCTAATTCTTTATGGCGGATATCACCACTGACATACCATTGTGCAACAGTTATGGTCCTTAGTACTTTGTTTTGGAATCTCTGATAGAAAGTAAATAACAGCTATCTCTTAGCCATTTAATTTTGTGACCAACCATAATTGGCGAAACACGTAAAAAGGCTTCAGCAAACGACCTCAAACACTTCCATGCCTGTCGCACGATATCACGAGTTTCCCCGATCGATTCTGTCGCTCCAATTCGAAGAGACGGTGGCCAGAGTCCGGCTGTGCGGGTTATACGAACGCAAACCCCCGAAGGAATAAGGAAAGCCGATAAAGAGCGAAACCTTAGACCGCTACGTCACCGGAGAACGGAATCCATATTGAATTTGAAGGAAGCCGGGCGTCGGCGTCGTGTCCGTGTCCGGGCCGCATAGGATAGAGTTACTCTGGAAACAGTGGCTCTGTAACGATAATAAAGCTCCCATGAATAATTCATCATTTTTCACCATCCTCGTGGTAAAGTCTCGAGAGAGGGGAGAAGCAACGGGTCGCTTTCAAAAATTCATATACCAGTTCCCGTGGTGCCCAGGATCTGTTTTTGATGCACTTGCATTCACCCTCGAATCGGTAAACACAACTGCGCTGGTTCCCGTGGATTCGAGACTTCCCTCGAATCCTGGATCCGTGGATTTTGACTAATCTGAGGAAACTGGGGCTGCAAATTCAATGAAATGGCGAGGGAATCAATTCGACGAGGACGCTTGCATGGTATAGAACGGAGGAAGTATTTAGCTCGTTATTTTATTATTTATACAGTTGGTAATAGCATCGAGGGAATATACTGCGTGATTGCTGATTAAAAATACATAACTTGGTATCTGGAATAGCACGAGTTCATTATCGACGTTAAATGGATTTGTGAATGATATAATCGATGTTTCCAGTGCTGTATGTATTCGTTACCTATGGTTGCTACAATGCTTGGGCTGCAAGGAAACTGCTCTGTCTTCATTGTCCACGTCCCTTCCACTTATCAACACAGTGCAACGAACAAGGCCCCGAAGCAATGGAGGTTGCATTTTTCGAGGTACCAGTACGCAGTGTCGAAGCACACGTTGAGTTTGTCTTTCGTGAATCGACGGACGTGCGCAGACCCATTCTGTGCGCTTACTCACTTCGTTACACACCGCTCCTGTCACGAGGATTCTTTTCTGTTTGCTTTATCTTTGACCCCGGTGGCAGGCTAACAAGACCCCGACCCCGGTGTACAAGACAGCGGAGGATTCTGCGGACGTCGATTCGCCCAGTCATTACAACTATTACAACGGGACCTTTAATTTGACCCCTCGAGTAGATTAACGACTTCATCTTCGCTGACGGGAACTCTCTGTCGCATACACGTTCGCCTCGTTCGTCGTGCCCATCAGTGCGATTGTTCGTTGATTCGTCCATGGGTTTGTGCTGTCATGGGCCACGTAACACTTTTACAGCCGAGAAATTTTGTATAGAGGCGACCAGTCGCGATTTGTCGGAGAGGGAGTGATTTATTTTACGTGACGCCACCGCTCGTGAAAATTCATATGCATGGGAGTTTAGTTAATCTCGGTAAAGAGTAGATGATGAGTGTTAGATGGACGTTTCGGCAATGTTTTTAGAACCGTGCCGCGCTGTTTATTCGAAGTGAAACAAACGTGTAATACGAATGTCAGTTTGAACGTAACAACATTGCGCTGTAAATTTTCGAGGAATATCGGGATTCGTTTTATCGGAACGCAACAACCAAACACGACGTCGACATTCGCTAAAACGCGCGAAACAGAATGAACATTTATTCAAACTGCATTCGACGGCTACGACAAAGAAAAAACGCGCCACTCTCCGTTGCAAAGGTATAGTTTATATTTATCGCCGCGGAGGTATTCAAAATTTTACTGAAAAATAAAATAACTGATACTTCTAGAGGTTTTCGGGAAACCTAAAAATTACTATCGTTTTGTCATGGACTGTACGGCTAACGCCGAGGAATGTAAAAATGATAGCGAAGTGTTTCGCAAGCGATAAATCATACTTTTCGATATAAACGCGCCGTCCACGTTGCCCGTGGAGCCACGTAACTCGGGTTTGCGTTGAAAAATTGCTCGCTCTTAATTCCCGTCGACATTTAAAGGAACAGCACTTAATTTTTCGTAATGGGCAATCATCGTTATTTATATGCACGTTTATGCGCGAACCTTCCGACGGAGGAGTCATAAATGATCCTCGTGTAGCCCCGACGAACGCCTAACGTACGAAATTTTCATCCCGTCGACCGTGTTCTCCTCGCTCGATCGATAGTTAATATAAATGCATCGTAATGAATAAAACTGGCTTCCCAGCGGGAGGGTTGGGGAGGGGCGGAGTCGCTCAATCACCGTGAGTAATTAACCATTTTGGCGTAGGCACGGCCGATGAAAATGCAAGGAGCGTAATTAAGCATCGGCGCTGTGTCTCGGAAGATCGTCGTTCTCCGCAGTGACGAGATGGTCGGCTTGTCCCATCGTTTAATCGAAACGATTAAATTAACTAAAAATAAAAATGAGTTCTATCGAATAGGGTTGTGTCGATAGAGAATTGTTTTCAATATTTATTTATTTATTTATTTCAATATATACGGGCATAGCCCATTATGAAATTAATACAATGTAGCAATTATAAACATATGTAGCAAATATTAAGTCGGATGCAGGAGGTCGAATTTAGTTATCGTCCCAAGTACACGGATATTAAGAGCAATGAGAAATGGAATTGACAGGAATCCATGGCGGCGCGTGCCACATCATTTATCATACAGTCACGCGAATTAGGCTGATGAAAAATGAAATGCCGCAAAATATGCACCGCTGTCGCTTAATTCTTGGCCACCATAGCGACCATAATCCCGTTAACCGGGAGCGTAACGCGCACGTTTCTCGTTTCTGTTCAATTTCCATTTTTCATGTCGCGACGTAGATCGTGGACTGCAAGGAACGAGCAAGAGAGAGACAGGACCCGGGGGAAGAGATTCGATATCGACGGCGCTGTTTGGTAATCAAAGAACGGTACTCGTACGGGTTCAGGGGTCAGCGGTAAGTGGCACTGCGCCAAGACAGAAAAACGAGCCGAATATGTAATTGTCGGCATCCTGGATACGTAGTCTGCCATAAATAAAAAAGTTCAAGTTATTCGTGGTACTTTCAAATACTCAGTTTCTGAAAACCTTCCTGACTTTATTGTTTCGCCCCCACCCCCCTCCCCCAATGATTATACATAATACATGAATAGTATTTGGTGCTACCATCGATTCAATTTTGGCTGAGTCTGCCACGAACCATACTAATCTTCTGGTTCATACGAAATGTTATATAGCTATGCGATTTTCAGAATGATCATACATATATCCAAACGGATGTGATGAAAATAAATAAAAAAAACTTAGAACCTCGCAAAGTTTGCACGACTCTGAGGGCTGTATTTTTATTTTGTGATCGGAAACAGTCGTTTTCATTGTAAAGCTTGTACCATTTTCACATAGAAAGCTTTAAAATTCTTCTTCACGCGATGCGCACAGGAAACCGTCCTGACATATTTCCCAAGCACTAAACTGATAGCATCAGAAAGTCAGCTCCACGTTTTTGCCCCTGAAAAATGCGATATATGTCGTTCCTCGTACGCGCTCTTCTGCATTCTTGTCACTCATAATAGCAGGCCCATGTAACAAGAGAGGAAGTGGCGGAAAAATCTCGATAGGTGTATGCATGTATCTTTCCCAGACATTTCGTTCGGTAGTGTTCGCAGTAAAAGATTATAGATAAACTTTAAACTGATACTAAATCCTTAAAGTAGACTCAATTTTCTCTTTTTATAAAATTAAAGGTGCCTTCAATCCATTTTGCATTCCATTAGATCCACACAATTTAAGACATCGATCACTAAAATAATTTCCAAGTCTTCGACTTGTAAAGAGTTACGTGGACCTCCGTGTACCTAATTTATTTATCCGACCATAGCGATTTGATCACCCATCCTGGGTCGAGAAGGCGTTATCGTACGATACGACTGGCCTTTCACTAACGGAAAAAAGTGGCCATAGAATCGCATGGCTCCTGATTTAAATTCTGAGAATAATCACCTCCTAAGTTGGCCAGCAGCCTAGGTGTCGAGATATTCCCATCGGTGGTCCCGTGGCCAATTATTATCTCTCCCTGGGCCGGATGCCAGCCGAAAGAAAACCACTTACGTGACACGCTAATAATAGGTCCTCGTGCACCGGATTACGCGGAGCTTTTGTTCATTAGCGTACCATTTCGGTTTAATTGACACCTCTGACCCGACCAGCGGCACCATGGACGAGTAATGGATATCCTCATCACTTTGTGGACGCCGGCAACGGCGGTCTGCACCAAAACCGATCAACCGGATGTGATTTTCCTTCTCAGACCGCGAATATCGTGCTTTCAGCCCTTTTTTTTATCCTCCCTCTTTCGTCAGAGTAGATGTCAAAGGCCTGCGGAGGTTCGTTATCGGCGATTAAAAGTCGTTAGGTGACAGAAATCCATCGATTTTGGGTGTTCGGGCAGGAGTTGAAAATCAGTCTCGTTTCGATGGAATGGATAAGCTGAGTGTGCTGTATTCGCTTAAATTGGAGGATTATTATTTTCGCGTTGAAATGGTAAATGGCGAATGTAATACAATTTGTTTGAGCGTAGTCTATAAAGAAATCGTACTTGATTTTAAATTAAATCGTTGCGGAAGATATCGATCGAGTCTTTAGCATTTTTGTCTTGGACTTTTTCTGTCAATGATCGATCAATGAAACCAGGATGGAGCTAGGTACACCTCTGTAACCGCAAAAAGTAGATTACTACGATACAATGGAACAGATACGAGAGAATTTTATGAACAGTGAGAACCATTGTGTTCCCATCGAAACAATTGAAAGTTAACTTATTCATGACGTGACTAATGATAGATAGGAGTACTGAACTGAATCGTTACTTATTACGTTAGTTAGAAAGGACAACAGGGTGTGTGTAAGACAGTTTAAACTTGCTTTGTTAAGTGAAGGTTAATGCCACTCGTGTAATAAAACTTAGAAACCGATTTGAAGTATGACAAATTATAACAAAATTTCTATGACATATTCGGTATACTAATAATATTTTTTGTTTTGTTGCAGGTGAGTGTGGACTTCTAAAATCAAACTTATGGGTAAGCTCTGGTTGAAAATTCTAGAATTTGATGTTTTATTAGTTAGGATATTTAGAGCAATAGGGATTGAAATAAATATAAAGTTGGAAGCTCTTGAAATAAAAAATGTCAACACAGAGGAAAAAGAATAACAGCATCGATAGGGAACTCGAGTTACTGAGATATCAAACGAGAAATTATTACGTCCACATGGATTACCATCGAGTCCAGCACGCTTCTCCTTTTACCTTCGATGCAACATTACGGTTCAATTCCGCACCAGCCCACCGATGAAAAGTTAACGGATCGAAGTAATAAACGAAAAATTATCACAGCTCGAGATCGCCGGCTGACCAACGGGGAGACAACCAATCTCGAATCAATAACACCGCAAGTATCCTCCGAGGAGTTGTTTCGCCACTCCGTTCGATCCATTAACGAATTAATACAGCGAAATCCGTTAATATATTCGCGAGTTGGTGTCGATTTTCTCATCGTCGACTGGTTCCTTTGTGAGCTCCTTTCAACCGAGATCGCACACCACTCCGCTTAATCACAGTAATCGCCGGCCCAGGATTATTAACCCCCTCGAGAAAGAAGCACATTACCGGCATGCGGCAAAAAGCAGTCTACTTTCTCGTGCACCTTTTCATCTGTGGCTCTCTGTACGTGGAAACCGATCGATTCGGTCCTCGCACGCGAAACTGATTGTACCGTGCGATTCTCGACGAGTCACCGCGTCCTTTTTTCGTCGTTGGAAAAAATAATGAGCCAATTTTTGTATCCGCCCGGTCCCGGACCGCTGACGCAACGGGACCGTTTCATCTCGAGCCGAATTTTAATCGCTTTCACTCTTTCTCGACCGTGTCCCAGTTTTTTCTCAACCTCCCCGCTGTGAAAGTCTAGCGGGAAATAATAACGGGGGACAAAAGGTACTGCTGGAGAAAATGAGAAATCCCGTTTAACGAAATTGCACGCCACTCGCAACGTTGTTGCGTTTTACGCTGAGATTACACACGGAGCCATCCTGAAATACCTGCGACGTGGAAACGAG